ATTTTTTTGCTGGAAAAGTTTAAAATCTTATCGGAATATTTTTCGGATCTTAGAATCTTTGAAGTGAAGAAACGCATGAAAAAAAATCTTGCGCGTAATAACGTGGCCATTTTTTGTTTTACTTTTATATTTGCTGATGATTGTGGTTGTGCTGAATGTTGAGCAAAAGTGAGTCGGTTGTTAACCCCACCGTCGTTGCTGTGCCCGCAGGACAAGGCCGCCAAGCTGGACTCGTGCTGGTGCGACGGCAAGGAGGAGTACGACTGCCCGGCCATCCGCAGCAACATGGCGCAGCTGTGCTTCCACCAGGCGCCGCCGCGGACGTACGCGCCGCCCGACCCGCTCCCGGGCGACGTGGAGACCAACGAGCTGCTGCCCAAGCAGCAGTCCAAGGGCGGCGCCGCGCGCGCCCGCCTCGGGGCGCCGCTCCTCCTGCTCGTGCTCGCCGCCGCGCTGGCCGCCGCGTCGTGACACCGTCGCGGGCCTCCCGCCGTCGCGCCATACAACTGTCGTCGTCCGGGCCGCGTCCGCGGTGGCGACGACGACGGCGGCGCCTCTGTCCCTCGCCCACCGCCCTCCCAGTTACCGCCCGGTGGGAGGGGGACAGAGCCAGAGCAAGCAGATCCTCCGCACGTCCTCCGCTCCCCTGCTCCGCCGAGTGCAAAGCGTTGCGGAGCGTTGCAGAGCGCCACCCAGGGCGGCGCCACCGCGACAACGCCACGCTCCGCTAGCGACGGGCCCCGCGGGTCCATTTGAATGTTGGCGCGCTGCGGGATGGGACAGGCCGCGTGCGTGTGGTCCCACCGCTGCCCACCCCGGCCCGATCAAGAGAGCAGCAGCAGCAATTGTTTCGGGACTTATTTTACATGGGCGCCGCCGCCGAGGACGGCTGCTGTAGCCGAGCGCAGCGGGCGTGGCAGCTGCTGCTGCTGCGGGGATGCAGCGGAGCGCATCTGCAACAACTACAGTACCTTGAATCTGTGTACAAAAACAAGTGTAAAAAAGGCAGAGAGAGAAAAAGATTCTATTGTTGGAAATGTATATGTTTCAGAGATTATTTATCCATCTTAAATTTCTGTAGATATTGGTTTTTAAAAGAGATTATATTTGTTATAAATTATTTTCAAAGAGCGAATTTTACCCTATCGCGTTTTTACATTTTATAAATTATATTAAACACCCTATGACTTGTGATGCATCTGTGATTTGTCAGGAATTATTAATTCTATTATTTTTGCCCTGCCTATCTATGTTACCAACTTGCGTTCTTATGTTCAAATTAGGGTGTTATTTTAGCCTGATTGTGATGAATTGTACATTTCTTTGTGTATATTTAAATTTAGTCTAAGTGTACTGACTGATCCTGTATCCATAATATTTCGTTGGAGCGACATTTGTTCGCCATCGTGGAGTTGGTCCCCGTACCAGCGTGTTAAATTGAACAAAAGAATAGTTCAATTCATAAATGCAAAATATCTTTTGCCGTATGAGTCAAGGTCCGTACTACATATCCGTGTACAAAACTGGTGTGTGATAGTATTAAATAATAAAAATGGTTTTAGGCCATGAAAGCCGCGAGTCTTGGTCCGTACTAAAGCAAGACAGTGATTTCTAGTGAATGTGAGAGTGTGTAATTGAGTGAGTGTCTGAGACAGAGAAAAACATGTACAAACTGTTATGTACAAATTTTTCTGTAATATAAAATAACAAGCATATTGTAGATATTTTATATCATATGTGAAAAATGTGCGATATGTATATTTTTGAAAGACTGTAGACTGTAGAAATTGTATAGTGTGAAATTTTGTATATTTGGAATGTGTTTGACAGAGGAGAACGAGATAGGCAATAAATTGCAGTGGTTGTTACAAATGTGGCTTACTTTTTGATTCTTCTCTCCTAACATCGAGCTGAAAGCAAAAAGCAATCTGATGTTTTCTATTTCTGAACATTTTTGATCATTGGAACTTATTATGTCCGGTTTCTCTGCAGAGAAATCATGATTTCGTCACGGTCTCTTCGAGATGGTGTCCAGTAATTGCACCATGTGTAAGGTCGAAAACACAAAGAGTGAGAAAACTAGCAGCTCTAAAGTTGATGGCGATGCCGGAAGGGCTACATTGTAGCTGACCATTAACTTCATTTTAACTCAATCACCAGGATCACCATGCTCACCACATAGCCGTGGCCGGCCAGGCTGTCTGCACCTGTGGCTGCAAGCAAATGCTCTCATTTCAAATGGTGAGTTAGAAAGGTCGAACAGCGAGCAGCAGCGGAGCAGCAGAGAAAGCGAATCAGAAGGAGACAGAGAGAGAGAGAGACAGAAGGGAGAGGGGGGAGATCATGTTCATTGAGACGTAGCGTGAAGTCTCCAGGCCTGGCTCCAGGTCCCGAGGCGGGCTCGGCTCGAAGCTCAAGGCGCGCTGGGCGACCACCCGGGAGAGAAAGGGAGAGGGAAAAGTAAGAGAGTGAGAGAGTGGGGGCAAATGTAGATGATAGAGTAAGAAGAGTGAGAGAAGAAACGCTTGCGGCTACTCCTACTCGCTTCATATATGCCAATATTTTATTTTTATTGATGGGCAAAATAGTCGGTCACCGTTTTTTGTGAGAGTCGGAGCGGTTGTCACTATGTCACTTCCCCGCCTCCTCTTTAGCAACAACGTGGTCCAGATAAGTCGTCATACCAGCCACCTCCCCCTCCCCTGACCGTGCGCTGACTGCCGCCCGCCTTCTGATTTCCATTCATTGCGGAGGCTGAGCCTGTATCGGTAGGCACAAGGTCTTACACACTCACATTCCTCGGGTGGACGAGAGGAGCGGAAGAGTGGAGGGGGTCGGGTCATTGCGTCAGGGAGGAGTAGGAGGAGGGGAAAGAGGTAGGGAGGAGGAGGAGGATACGGGGGTCCCCCTTCGCCACCCCGTGTCGCCGGAAAGGGATTTTATAGTTTTCCGGAAAACAGTTTACCCGTCTCTGCTGTGCGGGCCGGCGATGGCGGCCGCGGCGGCCTCGGCCTCAAGGATGAAGGGGGTACCCTCCGCCGCACAATGAGGGCTTACCGACAGCGCCAATCCATATTACATGACGCGCGTGAAGGCCTCCTCGACGGCGGCGGCCTCGACGACGACGGCCGGGGAGGGGACGCGCCCTCCCCGGCGGCCTGGGCCTCGTGGACACGCCCCCCTGGCCGTCCGCGGCCGCGCGCCGCTGCCGCACACGACGTCAGTGCAGCGCGCCCACGCGCCGAGCGTGTGCGTGCGTGTGTGTGTGCGCGCGCGTGTGTGTGTGTGTGCTCCGAAACGCACTCAAGAAACGCGTCATCCCCAGCAATCCCCCATGCACGGCACACTCTATGGCTGGCCATGGCACGGCGGCGGCGCCTGGGAGAATATGCAACCTGCTGGGAAACAGCGAGTGAGGGGTTTTTTAGCTGCCGGGCGGAGTAGATGTTTTCCCATTACTATTCTATTTGACTGTAGAGCATAAGGGTCTGCACGTGCATCTGACCATAGAGATGGTATGGTACCTGGTCGTTGGCACTGCGTCAGTATACAACGCACAAGAAGATAAGGCGGAGGGGAGGGAGGCTGCACTGCATCTGGAGGGAGAGGGGCCGGAGCAGGGCACTCCGTCGGTAGGCCCAGGTCGTCCAGAGCGAGCCCGGCGCGGCGGCCCAGCCCAGCACGGCGCGGCGCGGCGCGGCGGGGCGGAGCGGGGCGAGGCGGGGCGGACCACCCAGCGAGACAGGAACTGGCGGACAAAAACGTAGTACTCTCCTCTCTCTCGCTCGCGCTCTCTCTTCCTCTCTCTCTCCTCTCGCCCCGGTCGTCGCGGCGCTGGCCGGCCCCGTGGCCGCATCAGGGCCATATCGCGGGGCCAGGCCGGCCGGGACGGCGCGGGCGGACCGCGCATTGACGGG